GTTCAGTTTGATTCACGTGGTGAAACAAACACACACACACACACACAGTCTAAACTCTGGTTATCAGATTGAAGGAATTGACCACCTATGCTGATAGTTTTAATTTTGGACATCCTCCACAGACAGATCTTACAAGTTGTAAAGAAGCTCAGAGAACACGTTGTGCCTAATTTTAGATCAATATCTGTAAAATTGAGTGTACGCCTTTTGTTTCTAGCTAACGTTGATTAGTTGTTCAGACCAACTTGAACCGGGGGTGACTCTAAAATTTAATCATCTGTAAATGTAGGTCCAATAATGACTTTCAGAGACTTTCAATAAAATCATTCAAGTGGTCCATGAAACATTTTGCTAACAGACAAATAGGGTTGACATCAAAGTTGAAAACTGACATTTTCAATAAAAACAATTTACAATTTGTAGAGCTCAGAGTATTTGTTGCTGAGTACTCTTAACTAGACCAAATTTGAGTACATTTGTCTGACTTGTAACTATTTTGTGTTGCTAAGGTCACTTAGCTGTTGTGGCCATCTTGGGTGGGATTGACTCCAAAAATGAATTAGCTGTAGAAGTACTTTAAATGATGACTTTCTGTAAGTTATATTCCAATCCACTGAGATATTTTACTATTTCAGAAGCTCTAAACATGATCTTCAAACCCTCCAGATGTGAATAAGGTAAACAGAAATGTTGTGAGCTGTGAAGAAGAACAGATCAAGACAATTAGAGCAGGCTGATTATTGTAGCTATTGGAAAGACTTGAGCTGATGGCAATGAGGTCGAGGAGAAAGGAAATCAACACACAAGAGGACTGCATCAAAATATAACAAAGGAGAGGAAAACGTGGTCGGAGTAAATAAAAAAACTGAACAAATGTAATGAAACCCTAACAAACACAAAGGATGTGTTGATATGGGACAGAAATGAGAGAACAACTGAGCAGCACCGAAGGAGAACTTATCAAAACAGGAAACCAATAGAACAAAGGAGCTATGGAGCGGAGAGAAACCCAGACAGAAAGAAAACGGAGCGGAGCATCGGTGTCTCCCGCTGAGCCGGTGTAAGCCTGTAAATGTGATCAGCGTGAATCCGTCCTCTACATGCAGCAGCTGCAGCCTAATGTGTGTTTAGCCTGTTTGGACTCTTCCAGGTGCCTGCTGCCTGCTTTCCACGGCTGACAGCTCAGACTGCCTCCGCCTGAGCCGTCTGATTTACTGCTCAGGCTGGTGGTTCACCCAGGCCTTCCGACGCAAACCCACTACATCTCTGTGTGGCTGACCATGCAGCTGAGGGCCCCTGTAATTATTTTGGCCCTGGATGTTTGTGTGACGTGCAACCATGAACAGCAGTTTTGCTTGAGTCGAACGTTTTCGCAGCCTGATCATGCAAACACTGCAAGTAAAGCAATTCTTGCACTGCAAGCACCTGTCCCATCGCTCCCCCTCTCTCTCTTTCACACAAATACACTTTCTTTTTCCTCCCCCCTCTTTTTTTTTTCTTCTGTCACTAGCAGAGAGCGGAGCCCCAGATGTAAAGAGACAGGCCAAAAGACGGAGAGATGGAGGCAAAGAGAGATGAAGAAAGGAAGAGACAGTGGAGCTCAGTCCTAATCTGTTGACAAGAGGGGATGTTTGAAGATAAACAGAGGCAGAGCAGGAGAGCTCAGGAAGTTAAGACTGAGAAGGAAATAAAAAGAGCTTTTGGCCTCAGTCTCCACTTCAACAGCAGCCCAGCTGGACCGTCAATGTGTGATGGTTTATACTTGCAAAAGGTTTGCACCCAAAATGAGCTGCAGGGCATCCAGAGATCCCCAGAAAGTGACTCTTGACAGTTACAGACACAGATATGTGAATTTGCATCCTTTCATCAAAAGAAAAAAGAAAAAAAACCACAGAGGGAAACTGAAATGACAAGAAACTAATGACAACAAGTTATTTTGAATATTGGTTCAACAAGCATATAAAAAAAACTAATCAAGCTGGCCTTGACAAGAAGAAAGGCACTCTTAATAGTTCACCCCACAACCTTTTCAGGCAATCACAAAAATTAGGCTATTTCTGTAAATCGCTGACACTTCCTCATGGAAGTTGTGATTATTAAGGTTAAATATATTAATTAAGTTGTTAGTTAACACTGACCAGCTGGTGCCCTGCTTTAACAAGTGCAAAATAAGTAAAAAAGTGTAGTGAAATGAGGAGCAAGTGTCACCCTTGTCTTTTTGGTAAGCACTTTGATAACATTTACTGTTTTAAATGTGCTATATAAATAAATGGGACTTGACTTGACTTGACCCTTCTTCCTCCATTAGTTCACAAATGCTACATAATTGGTGCCCCGTGTGAGGCTATGTGCTAGAGGACCTGACACATGACCTCTGACCTGTCATCAGGTATTTTAGTCAACTCCTTGTGAGCAAACTTCTCCAGCTATCTCAGGTTTGAAGGGTTCTTTCTCCATGTTTCAGCTCCTTCTACAAATGTTCAACAAGGTTTAGATCAGGGCTCAGAAGACCACCAAAGAGTAATCCAATGTTTTGTTCTGAGTCATTTTTAAGTTATTTAGCTATGTGTTTTGGGCCATTTTCATGTTAGACAACCCATGACCTGACTGAGACTGATTGACAGGTTTGATACCAGACTGCACATTACACTTGATTATTCCTTGATAGTCTTGAGATTTCAAGGCATCCTGTGCCAACACACACTTTTAATCAAAGAGTTGCCATTTGTCTTATCTGTCTATTCAATTTTTCATCAGTTTTCCACATCTAGGAAGGTTATCTCCAGTCCTGCGAATCTGAAACCTCTGAATAATCTGTGCACCTGTAGTCACAGAAACATCAAGCTCCTTGGAGTTAGTCTTATGGCTTTTACCTTGAACACTTCTTGGCTTCTGTGACAGCTCTCTCCTTAGCTTTCTTTGGTCCACGTTCAGTGTGCTACAGACCATCGTACCAAACAGCACAGTGAAATCTGTAGATGTGTGACATCAAAAATCCCAGACTTTCTTTAGACTCCTGAAATGTTTTACCGCTAATCTCAAAACTTACTAAACAACTTCTGGAATCTCCAACAAATCAGTCAACCTTCAGAGTTAACCACAAATAATTTCCAAATATTGTAACCCTTAATCCTACACTTCCTGATGATCGTAGAAAATAATCTGACTTTAGATTAAGGTACCCTTTGCATTGTCACAGAAATGAGTCATAAGAAACAACACACATTTTTTTATTCATATTGATGATAAATATCTTCTTAAATTAAACATTTGTAAGCTAAATTTGTGACTGGATGCCAACCAGCGCATGTGTTTGTGCTGAAATGACAATAAATAGGTGACGTCCATGGAGAAGCTTGTTTGGGATCAAGAACTCCAATAAATTAGACGTATTGGTGCCATTTTGGGGCAGATGTGGCTGAGGGGTTAGAGCAGTCGTCCTCCAGTGGGAGAGTTGGGGGTTCGATTCAACCAGCAGTCACATGCCGAAGTGTCCCTGGGCAAGACACTGAACCTCTCATTGCCACTGATTTGTGTCCTATCGGTGAGTGTGATAAATCACTGATTAGTCTATGTGGAGATCTAGTAGAGTGCTGTATGAATGGGTAAATGAGAGCACAGATTGTAGTGTAAAGCGCTTTGAGTATTTTGATAAGATAGAAAGCTGCTATATACGTACAGTCCATTTACCAATTTTACCCTCAGATTTGTTGAGCAAAGTAAGTATGTAAAGACTGCTTAGGTTGAAATGGTAAACCTAAAGTGCTATGTTCACTTGTTGTTCAGAATTGCACATCAACATATCGGGAAAACTAACGTAATAAACTCTCACACTGCACCATATAGTTCAGAATGTCCTTTTTATGTTTAATTTGATGACTATTGTCTCACTTCAG